CTCTGGTCGGAGGCGGCGGTAATGGCGGATGGTGGGTTGTGGCGCCGGCGGCGGCTGCTGTGAGGGACGATGAGTTCCTCCTTCGTGCCGAACGGGGCCAGCCTTGAAGATTGTCACTGTAACCTCTTCTGCCTGGTGAGTGCCGGGCCGCGGCCCGCGGGCGGGCGCGGAGGGGGCCGCGAGGTGCGCCCCGGGCCGTGGGGGAGGGGGCCGGGTCGGAGCCCGCTGCCCGAGTCCCGGGCGAGGCCCAGCCGGGGCCGGCGCCGGGCGCAGCTCCGCAGCCGGCCCGGGAGCCCGCCGTCCTGCCCTCGGCTTGACGAGTGTTGGCATTTTTCTTGTCTTGGTTCGAACTCTGTTGCTCCGGTAGTCTTGTCTTCAACTTGGGCTCCTTATCAGCCGGGACACTAACATTTCCCGCTGTGTCTGGCTTAGCAGTTTGTTGCTTCTCTCCTTACTGACCACGTATCCTGTCTTCACGCTTTCCTTTTATTGCCCCTGCCTTTATTCTTCACCCCAGTTAATTTAGTTCCCCGAATGCATTAGGACCCCAGAACTTACTCTCTCTAAGTTTTTCGTTTCACATTTTTTTGTACGAGTCAAACTTAACCCAAGGTTAATTTCTTCCTTTGGAGACTTCAGATCTTTCTGTAAAACCCAGTAGATACTATTTCATGTTTTCTTTTTAAACTTTGAAAACAGTTTTCCATTTTTGACAATTTCTAGCCATCTTGCTTTTATTAGAACATTATGTTTTTGTGAGAGCGGAGGGGACTAACGGAGGTGGTGCTGTGATTTTTACACTAAGTATTTCTATATTTGACTGTTTTGCTTGCTTTTTAAGAATGTTTTGAGCAGACTGCTCCTTGTTTTATAGACATGGAAAGTGTGGAGAATCTGGATGTAGGGATGACATTTGTGTACGCTGGCCTAGGTCTGGTACCAACAGTTAAGACTTCCGAAAAGTACCAACTGTTGCAAATACCTAGTCCTGAATTAGATAATAACTTGGTTTCATCGGTGACTTTAAGTTTTCGTGACTTTATTTTTTCATTTTTTTCCTCCTGTGCTCTGAGAAATATTAAAAGAGTATTTGATAGGTAAGTGAATTAGGTGGGCGGAGCACAACTAGTTGGCAAGTGTAAAGTGCCAGTCATGTATCAGCAGTTTCATTTTTGGCACCTTATGCTTTGCGTCTTTAAGTTAGATTAAGGAATTATTTAATTATTTTAGTTAAAGTTTTTTCATGATGCTAAACTAAGATCTTTAATGCACTTTCCCCTTATAAAATACGTTGGATTTCTTTAGTGTCCATTAAGCAGTATCTCTTAGATGGACTAAGATGTACAGCAGGTTTAACATTTCTGTCTTCTCCAACTCAGTCTATTTTTGGTACTTTTAGGATCAGCTTCTTTGAAGATAGACTAGGGTGAACTGATGGTTCTTTGTGAGCTGCTCTTAGACTTTTCCTAAAGAGGATGTGTGATGAATTCACATGGGCTTTTTTCAGGAATTGTTCAGATGTCTTTTCATTAGAGCCATGACTTCTGTAAACATGGAATAAAAACTCGTGATGTGAGATCTTTAAGAATTAATTTTCAGTTAAAAGTTTGACATCAAGGAACAAATGTGGCAAATTAGACTAGAACTAAGGACAGAGGAAAAAAATGTGTTACCTAGAATACATTTTGTACATTTAATACACGCACTGTTAAAATACATGTTTGTATTTAACATCAAGTTTTATTTCTACCTGGGACACATTATTGCTTTGCTGTTCAGTAACATGTTGATGTTAATTTTAAACTGTTTTTGTTCTTTAAACTCCCGGTTGTTGAATGATCAGAATTATAAGGCTTTTTTGGGGGAGGGTGTTTTGTTTTCAATATTTTAAGCATATGTTGGAAAATTGTGATGTCTCAACAAAATAAGGGACTTTATATTGAATACTTTTGACTTTGAATGTGCAATCACAAAAAATCATGCTTTCTTTCTTTCCTTCAGGCTGACTTGACAGGAATTAAGTGGAAAAGATACGTATGGCAAGGTCCAACTTCTGCCCCTATTCTATTTCCTGTGACAGAAGAAGACCCCATTTTGAGCAGTTTCAGTCGCTGCCTTAAGGCAGATGTACTTGGTGTTTGGCGGCGAGATCAAAGACCTGGAAGAAGAGAATTGTGGATATTTTGGTGGGGTGAAGACCCCAGTTTTGCTGACCTTATTCATCATGACTTATCAGGTGAAGGCAACTTATTATTTCTAACTAATGATATAGCAACATTGTATACTTCTCCCCAAGTAGCATCTGTATTACAAATTGGTTTTGTTTTTTGGGGGTGTGGATGTAACACTGTTAGGTATGAAGTCACATAAAAATTCAGCTTCATGTTTTATTTCAGTTTTTTTCTTTTTAACTCAAAGTAAGTCAAGTGTATGGGTTATGGCTGGCTTTTTAAGCTCAACTTTCTCCTTTTACCATCCAACTTCCTTCTTAATATCTCACTGGCGGTTAGGGCCCAAGGAAAGCATGTTACATTAAGAAAAAAAAGGATCAGGAAGTATAAAGTTCCTGACAAAGTCATGTAATACTATTGAAGCTAAGTGTAAGTCACCTTTGAGCCCATTCTTTTGCATGAATATGCAGAGGATTGTAGAAGTACCTAGAAATGTTGTAACTGTCTTGTGGTTTTTTTATAAGGCATATGCTTATTTTGTTATTATTTGTGTTTGTTATAACCATGTGAAGTCATATGTTAATTTTGTTTTCAGAAGTAACTCTTTTGGACAGTGTTTTATCAAAGACTATTAATATGAGACAAGCCACCAGCTTGTTTAGCTTTAATAGGACATGGGGTCATAATCAAAAGATTACATAGAAAAAATTTTGTGATCAAATCAGTATGAATAATTCTTGACTTCTGTGAGCAATTGTTACCTTAGAAAGAGAAACTACAGCTCTTCATGTGATTTTTGAAGCTTGTGTTTACTTTAGACTGAGGAGACAGTGTTAAGACTGAATCTTTGATAATAGGAATGTAAATGATAAGTTATATACCAAAGATAGTTAGATAATGATTGTTTTTATTTTTGATTTTTTTTTTTGAGACAGTCTCACTTTGTTACCCTCACTAGGGTGCTGTGGCCTCATAGCTCACAAGCAACCTCAAACTCTTAGGCTTAAGTGATTCTCTTGCCTCAGCCTCCCAAGTATCTGGGACTACAGGCACCCACCACGACGCTCGGCTTTTTTTTTTTTTTTTAAGAGACTGGGTCTTGCTCTGACTCAGACTGGTCTCGCTTGAACTTGTGACCTCAGGCAGTCTACCCACCTTGGCTTCCCAGAGTGCTAGGATTATAGGTGTGAGCCACTGAGCTCAGCCTAATAATGATTCTTGACAGGTAAATTTAGGATTTCTAGGTAATTTTTGAAAAAAGTGTTCTTATTTGAAATTGAATACTATGAAATTTATTTTGCTCATTTGACCCATAGGATCTATTTTATTTTCAGATGAAATATAATCCAGGTATCTGTATCTTAAGTTAGCGTACTTAGTAAGAACAACATTTGTGTAGGATTGTACGTTACGTTAGGTTTGCTTAATAATTTTTATTGTCAATTGAACGTATTTGGTATTATTTTTGAGAGTGATGCAGTTCTTTTATGGTAAATCTTTCCAGCTTTTTTAGCTTTCCTAAAAAGATATCTGCTGGAGAGTCTAGTCCTTAGTTCTAGTATGTAATGTAGTTCTAAATACGTAAAATATGTGTTCGTGTATGTCTATAGGTGTATACGATGTATGTATATCTATCAGGAAATAAAATTTCTTAGAGATTTTAGCAAGATGCTTTGTAATTGTCATGCCAAAAACTAAGTGTGCCAGCTTCTTTTTTTTCATTGACTTGAATATAGTCAATGTTATTTTAATAACATTAAAGAGTTATTTTAACCTTTAAGTGGTCATAAAAACCATGTTACCAAGATGTTTGCAGACTATATTAATTTTGTTCATTGATAAAACATTTGTTGATAAAGCTGTAATGCTAACTTAGGGGGTTTGGTCTTAAAAAGTTGGGCAGAGCGTCTGAACAGACCATTTTTTAATTTTTTTAAAGATCCCATGAAATACATTTTGTAGAATCAAAGATAATTCTAATAGAATATTTAATTTTACCATGTAAAATAGTATTTTGAAAGTTAAAAGCCTATTAAGAGGTGAGCCTTTTTGATGTTTATTGTCAAAGCACTGTGTAGATTAGCTTCTTATTTTAGGTTTCATATTATCAGATATATTTTCTCTTCTGAAAGTAGGTTATAGTTTTAAAAATTCTAGTTTAACTTTGGCTTTTAGCATAATTTTCAAAAATTGTATACTTGTGTTTTAAAAGAGATACTGATCTTAAATGTGAATGAAAGTGGTTTGGGGAGATAAGGTTTTAATTATTGCCAGATTTTGCAGAATGCTATTGAATAGTAAATAACTTAAAAATTAATCATAGTGGAAGTGATTGAAATAGTGAACCGAAATACAATTAGGAGCAGTATGTGATCATATTCACTGTTCCAAAAGCCTGTCCTGTGCTATTTTAGTTTGCATAGTCAGTGGCATTTATACAGTGTTTTGGCTTTTTTTTTTAACCTGTCATTTACTTTAGAATGTTGTTACTTAAATCAGACATATCTTAAAGAATAATAAGGTCTTTTCAGATGGACTATATTTGTCTTGCCCTTTTCTTTGCTCTAGGGACACCGTCTGCCTCCCTTTTGGGGTAATTAGGCTGCCTCTGTCTCTCTAGCTAACCCCTTTTTCATTTCTTCCCATCTGTGGCACTCTATTTCCTTCTTTTAAGCTCCCCTGAGAAGAGAGCAGCTGGACAGTAGGGGTGGCATCAGCTGCTGGAGGCAATCCTGAGTTCCAAGTGGAGGTGTAGCACTGGGGAAAGGGAACCGGAAGGACCCAGGTGGTAACTGAAAAGCTGGTTAATTTAGCTTGAGCCTGTTCTTCATGGGCAGTGTCCTTCTGTTTGGTTCAGTACCCACCACATTTTGTTACTGAAATGTTTTTGATTATGGTGATAATATTGCCTGCCTTTTTCTTGGTGGGAAGAGAAGGTAAGGCATTCCTTTTTTTAAAGTTTAAAATTGTCAATTTTTCTTATGTAACTGAAATATTCAATAATGATGAGCTTAACCCCTTTATCTCCTTTGTATCATCCATAGTGTATTTTTAAGAATAAACTTATTAATTTTAAAATAGGGTGGGATTTATATGAAAGTTGCAAAGTTAGACTAAAGAGTTCCTGTATTGTTAATATCTTACATTAGAATACTATATTTTAATAACTAATGAATCCAATATTGATACTTTGTTATCAACTAAGGTATAGACTTAATTAGCCTTTCCTTTATTTTTTCCTGATAACCCTTTTTCTGTCCTAGGATCCTATTTAGATACCACATTGCTTTTAGTTGTCATTTTTCTTTAGGTTCTTCTAGACCCATGGTTCTCAACCTGTGGGTCGTGACTCCTTTGTAACAATGAAAATACATAGCGGCATTAGGAGAACCACTGATCTAGACTGACATTTTCTCAGACTTTCTTTCTTTCGTTTTTTTTTTTTTTTTTAAGAGACAGAGTCTTACTTTGTCACCCTCAGTAGAGTGCTATGGCATCATAGCTCTCAGCAACCTCCAGCTCTTGGGCTAGGGCGATTCTCTTGCCTCAGCCTCCTAAGTTGCTGGGACTACAGGCGCCTGCCACAACTCCTGGCTATTTTCTTGTTGCAGTTTGGCCTGGGCTGGCTTTGAACCCACCACCCTTGGTATATGGAGCCAGCGCCCTGCTTCCTGAGCCACAGGCACCGCCCTCTCTGACTTTCTTTGGTTTTAATAATTTTAACAGTTCTGAAGAGTTTGGTCAGGTATACAGCACATTTTAAATTTCACTATTCTTATATCACTTAAGGTTAGCTGATGTGTAGAAATAGAGTTAAACTCTTTATTGCCAAGTGATAAAGATCAATTATAGAAAACCAAATCTGATTTACTGTGTAGTTTAAACCCTCAGTTACTTGTTTTGTAGCAAAATCATTTGTAAAGTCCTGATTATTTTGTATCAGGATTTGTGCTCCCTATTTTTAGCCTTATAATATTCTAGTGAGACACTTGTTCAAAAGATCTTTCAAATCCCAAAGTTAAATATATAATTTTTGTTTATTTTTACTTTTTGCTCTTCTCTACAGTAGAATGGATGGTTGAGTTAGTATCTATTTTTTAATAGAAAAAGGGATGAGGGCACAAAACTCCTTTCAGATTACTGCTTTCTTTTCTATTTTAAAGTTAAATTTTGTGGCAGACTTTATTGGATGTGTGATAGTGGGTGACAGAAATGTAAAATTGGTGGTGGGGGGAAAAAATCTCAGTTCATTCTCTCTGGTCAAAAGTCTATGTAGTGGGTGGGACTGATCAGTTTTTTCCTTTTGTTTGTTTGTTTTTCAGTTTGTTTCACTTGGTTACCCTTGGTAGAGTGCTGTGGCATCTTAGCTCACAGCAACTTCAAACTCTTGGGTTCAAGTGATTCTCTTGCCTCAGCTTCCCAGGTGGCTGGGACTATAGGCACCTGCCACAGTACCCTGCTGTTTTTTATGATCATTTATTTTAAATGTTGTCTTAGTTTGCTTGAGAGCAAGATTGTTTCATTTTAATTAGAGTGTCCTTGGAGAAGAGTTCTATGTATTTTTATTGTGTCCTAACCTTTTTGAAATGTTATTGCTGTCTTTATTGGCTTTTATTCTTTCCTTTAAGATGAAAATAAAAACAAAAACTGCTCTCTCCTCCAAGTTCATCATCTTTAAAGAAAATCATAGTAAGTTAGATTGTGATAAGACTCTTTTAGAAAATTGATATCTTGAGAACTAAAAAGTTAGGGCTAAAAATATTTGTTTGTTTTTTTTCCTGGTTTCTGGGGTTTATAATATGGGATTTTATAACATGTCCAAATTTTTTCATAATGCATACTAGTCAAACTAAGTGGGCTATTGTTTCAAATTTAAATTGGGTGCTTTTATTGAATGATTTTAATTATAGTGGACTTTAACCTTAAATAATAGCTATTAACAGGATTGACAGGTAGATAAACAGTAGCCAGTCATAGCAATCTAGTGCAAGCCAAACTAGTAAATTGTTTTGTGTCCCAGGTAGTCTAAAGAGAGTTAATTAATTTTTATCTTTTATGGCAAAAT